CCTCGACAGCTTGCCAAAACTGGATAAGCGGCCCTCCGCCCAAAATAATTGCCTGCTCCTGTGCTAGGGGAATACCCTTGATAAGCTAAGTGCCCCCAGCTGAGTTTCCACAAGAGGGCTATCTGTTTCCTCGTAAAGAGCCGGACAGCCATACTACACAGTCCCATAAGAAGAGTATTTTATTTTAAAATGTTAGTAATTCTGGATGTTATTAGCTCAGACTTAGGAGGGAAAGAGTAGTTTGGAAAGAGCTGTGGAATTAACCCTGTTTTACAGTGATGCCATTTAGATAGATTTTCCTGTAGCCACATAAGCCTTTAACTTACACCATAGGGGATTTCTTGTCTTTATTTTTTTTCTTATTCCTTCACTTCCCAGAAAGATAGAAATGCATATAGTGAAACAGACTGTAGGCCATATCTTTGATGCCCCTGCCTTAGAGAATTTTGCAAAAGCCCTGTAGTGAACAGTTATGAAATAATGTGCTGACAGGAAGCTTCTTCCTCAATTCAAAGTGGTTAGTTTTGCTCTAGAGGCTTTGTATCCTCCTTCTTCTTTTTTTTAACTTACCTATTATGATGGCGGATGTCATTTTTCATATAAAAGCCTAATATTTTATTAGAATCCTGCCAATTCTTTGTTCCTACTGCCCCTGGTTTTGTCCTATAATCTGTTACAATAGTGTGAACTAAAAAGTGTTCCATTAAGTCAGTCTGCAGTAGTTTGTTTGTTAAAAGTTGCCCAATGAATTCAGTACATCATCATGCGCAATATTTTTAGAAGTAGCTATCTGGAACAGACAAATTGTAATGCCACTAAGCAAATTCTTTTTCCAAATAGACAATATAGTTATGCTTTGTCATAATGATACTGAACTGAACTAGTGAAGTATGTGTAGAGAGAATTACAACTTCCTAAAGGTATATGCGGTTTATGGAGTCTGTTTAACACTCCTACCATTGAAATAGCCTAAAAGGAAAATAACTACTATTTATTCAAATCTGCTAATCCTTTGCTTAGAGACCTTAATCACTTTATCACATAAAATGATCTTTTCTTTATACTTTGACTTTTGACCACAAATGCTTACAGGTTACAAGAAGGTAGTTCATATTGTACTGATCAGTGGGGGAAGGGCACAGTTCCAAGAGCTGTGACCTGCAGCAAGGGCTGGGTTGCAAAAAGCAACCCATAGTACTAAAAAGCTGCCAACGCCTGCTATAGGATTACATGGTTTGGTTAAGTCCTGAAGAAACTGCAGAATACCATCAACTATTCCGGATATAGTGCTCTGGAAAATATACTCAGAATCACTTATAAGTCTTCAAAAGCAGCTGAAAGTATTTCATTTATTTCTCACATGCCAGCAAAATGTGTATCTGCGTAATAGGGTTGTGCAAAGCTTTAGTCCCTGATTCAATTTGGTGGAGATTCAGCCCAATTCGGAGGCTGAATCTCCAAATCTGAAT